AATCACATAAAGGAAAATCCTGGAAAAGGACAAAAAGTAGCTTTGAGTCATAATTATTTACAGTTGATCATGTTAGATTATTGAAGGCACTCACTGCTCCTGAATAATGATAGTGGCTACACTGGTGCACATTTTGGCAAATCCTTATTTCAGGGAGACTCCTGTCCTTTGACAGTTACGGTTTAGAGATTATTGTGACTTTCTGAAGTACAAAATGAGGGTTTTTTTTCCCCACAATCTTTATTAACTGAAGAAGAAATCTGGATTTTAAATAAGCTGGGTTAGAGATAATTTCCTTTATTTCCAAAACAGGCATGTGATATCCTCCTGATGGTCCAGTTCCTCAGGCTGTAGTAACTGCTAGGACCAGGTAAGGTCCAACCTGGTTAAAAACAGGACTCACATTTGGGTTTTACCTTCTGTGGGTGGTTCAACCCCCTGTTCCCCTCTGCAAACAGAGGGGAGAGAAGGTGGGAGGCTGGTCATAAGCTTCCTGCAGGCCAGGTCTGGCCCATGGACCGACTGGATTATGGCACTGAAGTGAATATTGGTGCACTGCAAAGGTGGGTTTGTTTGCTCCAAGGTAAGTTATAGCTGTTGTCAACCAGCAGCGCTTCTGCTCACACTGACCCTCTCCAGAACTCTGGAGGCGAGGGAAAATCAATAAGTGTAGACTAGGATAAACTAAAATAAACATTTCCGAGCTTTTAAGATACTAACAAAATAACGAAAGGAAGAAAATAATCCCTGAAGGGATAAGCTCTGTTGACTGCACTGGGACAGAGCAGGGCCACCAACAACTGAGTCTGTTCTTGCCTCACTGAATATGCAGCCAAGTGCCTGCAAGGTCCCTCAGCAGAGCCTGGCTAAGGACCTGTGCCTGCAGTCCTTTGGTGTCACCCACACATTGTGTTTGTGGCCACTGGGACCAGACAGTGACGGGGCCTGGGCTGAGGGGCTCTCAGGGACATGCCCAAGGCTGTGTCACTTCTCTGCAGGAAGGCTGCTGATTCTCTTAGCCCTTCTAATGCCTGTGAGTGGAATCTGCAGAGACTGGTCAGAGCTCCTCCTGGAGCAGAGATGACCTGCATAACCTGGAAGAAGCAGGAGGATGAGCTACCTAAGTTCAGATTTGCTTTTCGTTGTATCCACACACCTCCTGATGGTGATCCCAGCGTGAGGGAGCTTCACTTCCTAGCTTTTAGACAGACACAGTACCCCCAGTACCTGGGAAGATGCCACCCACCTTCATCACCAGGGCTGTGGGGACACTCCTCTTCTGTAACCACCATTTCAAGACTAGCTTGGTGTAATGTGCTTTCCCAGGGGCTCAGAGCCATCTAGCAACTGAAGCGAGTGCAGAAAATGTTGTGTGCTTGGTAAGCAGAGTAAGGACTCGTATCTTCAGGTTTGGGACTTTAACCCACCCAGCCTGACCTCCTGTATGATGAAATTACCCCCATTCTCTCTGCAGGGAGTGCAACAGCTCATGTTGAATTCAATAATGCACTTTCTAGAAAGGCAATCAACCTGGATTGAAGGAGATAGAGGGATAGAGGATACACCCCTTCTTTAGCATTTTGTTCCAGAGGATAATCACTCTGTAACAAATGTGAACCAGATGATTCATTAGGACTTTTCTAACTCCAGCTCTCAGCCATTGTTCTGGTTCTTGCTATGCCTTTTCCCTCTTGATTAGAGCTCTTAAAACTGGCATTTTTCTCCCCATGTTACAACTTGCACACTGTAATCAAATTGCCTCTCAACAACCTGTAACAGCCAAACCCAGCAATGTCTCTGAGCTAGAATCCACGCTGTTCCTCTTAAGAGGTGGTAACCAGTGATTTTAGCAGTTCAGTCATATGATTCATCCTGCCACTAAAGACAATTCTATCACGTTTTTTCCAGTTCCCTCTGCTTTTCCTTTATATAAATCTCATTTTATGGATGCACTGGCATCTGCTGTGTTTGTGAGTTTTCCATGACCAGTTGAAGGTGTTAGGGTTGGCTGCAACACCCTGTGTGTCCATGTAACTCACTGCCCAAGCAATGCCTCTTTGTGCTGTATCTGTGGATGTCTCTGAGCTGGAACTCCTCTCTGTGTCAGAAATAAAAGGATGCTCTTGCAACCTTGGTCCTGCATTGCTCCATGTTCGGTGGCCTGCTCGAACTCTGGAGCATATACACTGACCTTAAGTTGGTGTTTGGGATGGTTTTTCTTTTTGGGGGGATTTGCTGGATCAAGGGGACTTGGAGAAGTCACTCCCCAGCCTCCTTGGGCAGTTATTTTAACATACAGTAAACCACCTTGGCTTCAGTGTCACCTCTGTTTTTGTGCTTAGTACTGGTTAAATGGAAAGAAATAAAATTAAACTTCAGTTCCTTGAGAAAGCTCTGCTTTCTTAGCTGCTTTCAGGAGAACCACTTGCTCCATAAGACTAAGGTCTTTAATTCTGCCTTTTAATCTCATTAACATCTCCTGAACATTGCTTTCTGTGTGCAGAGCCCAGGGGCAGCCCAGGCAGTGAAAAAAGTAGAGTAGAACAGACAGTGGATCAGCCCATATGTGTCTGAGGGCTCCTGGGCACTTTGTCTGGTCTCTCTGGAGCTCCTTGAACCTGCAGTTCAGCTCTGCTTAATGCCTGATATGCCTGGCTTAAAGAACACGTGAGTTTTGCCTCCACTGCTGGGCAAGTTGGGTGGTCCTTGTGAAGCCATTTCACTCCTTTTCCCTCTTTCCTTCTTTTTAATTCTACTGGTTTCTGTTGGGTTTTGGTTTTGGTTTTGGTTTTTGTTTCCTTTTGAGCCATATAATACTCTGGGTGACCACTGTCCCTTGCCCAAATTATGTACACCCCTAGAATAGTGGAGTTAGTGGGGATGTGAACAAGCAGCTTTGCCAGTATAACCTCTCCCATACAGTCAGTCACATTTGAACTGCAGATGCTGCTATGGAGTGAAAAATTATTCCCCTAGACTTCAACAGGTCAACCTGAACATTATCATTAATCCAGATATGTTGTTTCTGTCACTGAAACGAGCTCTGGAATGTCTGTGCAGGCCCACTCTCAGCACTAAAATGTCATTTACTGCTAGGGACTGTCACACGTCACCAGGAAGGGTGTTTGCTCCTTTCTTCAGAGTCAGCCCTGAATTGCTGCTGACTCATCAAAAAGTGCCCTTTCACCCCAGCAGCATCCCGGAGGTTCCCTTGGTGGTATCTCTCCAGATTTCTGGCATAGTCTGTCCCTGGTGTCATCAGTGGCAGGGTGTGACACAGCCAGGTGTGCTGAATACACACACGGGCTGAGCTGTGAGAGCTCCACGTTCCACAGAGGAAGGCGGTGGGGGTTTGTTTAAATGTGTATCCTGGAGACAAAGACTTTAATCATGACACATTTTCTTAGGTAAGATCAACAGACTGAGAGAAATCTGAAATCCTAGTGTGCTGTTCTTGGACAAGTGTGCGTTGGCTCTCCAGCAATCGTTTTATTTCTCTGTTTTTAGTTACCTTTTGTAGTTTTACGACAGGTATGACAAGCTGGAGCCACTCTGGTTCTGAACACTTTTATCTCTTTGAAGACTCTTCCTTTTGAAATGAAATGTCTCTTGGCCGTTCTTAGCTCAAAGGTGGAACTTTATAGGGAGCGGGATGGAACTGTTTGCAGTGAGGGGAGCTCTGGAGCAATTTTACTTCCTTTGAAGATGCATGTTGCTCCTGGAGCTACTTCTGTGCAATAGGAAAATCGTCTGGGGCCAGGCAGGGAGCTGCAAGGTTGGTGGCACATTCCAGGGAGCCCTTGCTCTGCCTCAAATCGTCCCTTCCCTGACAGCCCCTGTGCCTGGAGACAGCCCTGGGCGCTCAGAGTAGGCAAGGAGAGTTTTTGTTTTTTTCCAGGTAACTACACAGTTCTGCCCATCGGTGTGTTTGAAGCCCGCTGTGCAGTGCCGTAGAATAATAAAGGTAGAGAAAGGGAAGTCATTACTTGGTCCCACTGTGCTGGTGATGCCGGGCAGGTAAGACCCGGCCGCTCCCGGGCTGAGGGGGCGGGCTGAGGTGAGCTGAGGAAGGATGCCCTCAGGGCCGGGCTGAGGTGAGCTGGGGAACTGCCTTCATGGCTGGTCTGAGATGGGCTGAGGGGGAAGCCCTCGTGGCCGGTCTGAAGGGACCACCTGAGGGCCAGGCTGAGGCAGAATGTGGGGACCCCGTCACGGCCGAGCTGAGGCTGCTTAAGAACTGCCTTCATGGCTGGTCTGAGTTGAGCTGAGGGGGAATCCCCTCAGGGCTGGGCTGAGGTGAGCTGAGGGGAGACCACCTCATGGCCGGGCTGAGGCTGCTGAGGAACCGCCTTCATGGCTGGTCTGAGGTGAGCTGAGGGGGAATCCCCTCAGTGCCGGGCTGAGGTGCCGAGGAACCGCCTTCATGGCTGGTCTGAGCCGGGCTGAGGGGCCGTCCAGAGGCGGGGTAACGGAGCCCCTCAGGGCAGCTGGGGCGGGCTGAGGGGGGGACCCCTCAGGGCCGGACTGGGGCCGCCCGCAGGCGGGCTGCGGGGACCTCCTCATGCCTGGACTGAGGCGGGCTGAGGGACCCCCTTAGGGGCCGATCTGTGGGGGGCTGAGGGGCGGCTGAAGAGCCGCCCTGAGGGGAGCCCCTTAAGGGCCGGTCTGTGGACGGCTGCGGCGGGCTGAGGGGACACTCTCGGGGCCCGTCTGAACACGGCTGACAAGCCGTCCTGCACCAGGCTGAGGGGCCTCCCTGAGGCGGACTGAGGAGACCCCCCCAGGGGCTGTTCTGTGCCCGGCCGAGGAGCCGCCCCGCGGTGCCGCCCGGGGCGGGTCCGACGGACCCCTCAGGGCTGGCGGGGCGGGGCGCGGCGGGCGGGCGGGCGGGGCAGGGGGGGCGGAGTCTGCGCGAGGCCCCGCCCCTCAGCCCCAGCCCCGCCCGCGCTGTCAGAGGCGGCCGGTCCCGGGCAGGCTCGGGGCGGCCGCGGGGATGCGGCGCTGAGCGCTCCGGCTGCCGGTCGGTCTGTCCGTCCTTCCGTCCGCCTCCCGGTCAGTCACCCCGCACGCCGAGATCCCCTTCCCGCAGCCCATGATGTGCCTGGAAAGCGACGGCTCCTCCGGCAGCAGCCCGGGCTGCGGCGGGCGGCTGCGAGCCGGCGACGAGGAGGAGGAGGAGGACGGCGAGCGGGGCTGCTGCGGCCGGGGCGCCGAGGGCGAGGTGCAGACCCTGTCGGGCAGGATGAACCCGCCGGCGGGCGGCAAGCACCCCGACCGCCCCGCCGCCCTCCGCAAGGCGCCGAGCCTCGGCCGGGCCCGGGTGGCGGCCGCCGGCATCCTCAGCGTGGGCAACGTGCTCAACTACCTGGACCGGTACACGGTGGCAGGTGAGCGCAGCCCCCGCCCTGCCCGTCCCCGGGGGCGGCCGCCGCCGTGCCCGGCGCTGTCCCGGCGCGGGGGGCGGCGGGGATGGAGCGGGGCCGGCGGGAGGGATGCGGTCGGTGCCCATTGTGCGGCCCCTCCGGTATTGTTCTCTAGTTTGTGCGAATTTTATCGAAAATAAGAGGAGAGCCCTTTGTTCGTGCGGGCTGGATGGCGGAGCCGGCGGGGTTCGGGAGGCAGCGGCGGCGGGCAGAGGGTGCTCGGGGAGGTTCGGGGGGCGGTGGCAGCCGCGTTATCGATCCCGGCACAGGGTGACAGGTGCGGCCGCGGGGACACGGGCTGCGCGAAACGGGGACGCGAGCGTGTGTTCGGGGGCGAAAATCGCAGCGAGGCAGATCGCCCTTCGCTTTGTTCCTGCGGAGCGCCTGCAACACCCGGCTGTCCTTCAGCCCTGTGCCAAGGAGGGTCCCTTCCCTGCAGAACTCCCGGGCAGGTGACAGCAGAGCTGGCAGGAGCGGGCGCAGGAGGAGCCGCCAGGCAGCTGCAGTGCACTTTGCCAAGCTCGGTTTTCTGGAGGTAAACACTTTAATATGATGCGCTGAGGGATGCGTGACCAGCAGCGCTGCGTGAAGCGCTGTGTGCCTCGGTGGGTACTACTACTGCGAGGCTCAGCTCCGAAATAAATGTGCATTGGGATGTTAACTGTGCCATCCCTAGAGAGGACTCCTCCTTCGTTCCTTCCCAGCAGGGAAGGAGATCATCACTAAACTTTTCCTGATTAGAAACGAAGTAGGCTTGTTGGTAATCAACTGTCTCATGTCATTAGAATATAATGCATATTCTGTGTTTGGCAATACTGATAATTTTATCTTCAGAGTTTATAAAGGGGTTTGTGCATGTATAAATTTTGCTCTATGCATATATATGTTTTAATCACTAGGACTCGATGTGGTGTTAAGCAAATCAGATATTTGTTTATGCTGCATTAAAATAATGTATGTTTGTAGGGCAGTGATAGAGTGCAAGGGACATAAATTTAGTCACTATTGTCAGAATAAGTTGGCCAGGCTGTATTTGTTTTGTCTGGAGTAGGGAGATGGGGAGGATTAGAAGGAAAATTTAGCTGCCACTGTTGTGGCTTTTTGTATTATTATTTGCAGACAGGGCTTGCTCCTTCAGGAAATGTAAAGGCCAGTATTGGGAGGTATTGAGTGCTCGGCTGGTAGTCAGTCTGCTCCAGGAGGAAGCTTGAAGATACAAGGTTAACCTGTTATTATTGAAGGAAATTGTAGTTTGTTCCCTTGCCCTCAAATAGGAACCTCTCTAGCAGAGAGTTTTACTACAAAGCACCATTTTCCTTCAATGCACGGAAAGTTTCCTTTTTGGGAAGCTATTTCCCCCTCGTGCATACTTAAAAAAAAAAAATCATAACTCATTATCTAGTTCATCTATTTGCTGTAGTACTTTCAGCAAGACCTTTGTCATCTGGTTTTTCCCCCTGCAAGAAATGAAAGCAGCATCTTTTCTGGGAAGGCTGGAAAGTGCCTGACCAAGCAGAAGATAAAAATGCCTGCCTACTGCAGTGTGGCATTGCCAGTCCCAGTGCTATGATTGCCAGTGTTTGCAGGATAAACTCTGCTTTTGCAGTGCTCAATAACTGCCCCGTGGAACTTATCTGTTAACATTCAGCCTGATATCAAAGGTTTGAGATCTCAGACATCAGACTTGCCCCTGGGGACAGAATCAAACTTTGCATGGCCTTTTTGTCTTCTGTCAATTGGTATTTACTTTTCAAACTGGTGTTTTATAAAGTGCTAATCCAAAACATGGAATAATTTAAATCCAGTCTAATAGGAGAGCTGTGGTAATAAAAATTATATGTTTTGAGCTCAAAACTGACCTGATTATAAAGTCTTCTCTGAAAGCAATCTTTGCTTTTGTATTTTGAGTCTTAGTGCATACCACATGCTTATGTGATGTGCACTTGCAGATGAATCAAGCTGGCACTTTGAATATTCAGCTCATGTCTCAAGACAGGTAATAATTAGTGAATACAACTCTCCAGACCTTCAAAGTACATTTCAAATATGAATTGTTGCAGCAACGTAATAAGGGATTTTAACACCAGCCACATTATGGCAGGGGAAGTAGCATCAGAAGTTATGATTTACCTGAGGCCAGTGAACTGTTGTGAGAACTGGAGTTAATTTCTGGTTCCAGCTCCATTTGAAACAAGTGTTAGAAGAGCATCAGTACCAATGGAGACGGGTTCCTGAGGATCTGTGTCTCAAGGGTGATCCCTCCTGTGGGTTCTCTGACGTCAAATAGGAGTTGACCTTTGTCATTAACCTTTCTCTTCTTGTCTTATGAGAGTCTCCCCTCTACCCAACCATTTATTTTTTTTTTTTAATGGAAGTGTTGGGAGCTTTGGGACATCTTCCTGCTGTCAAATTTAGTCAAAAGCAGGTCAGTGGCCTCAAAAGCAATTAGTAGGCAGCTGACAGACAGATAAAAGCAAACAGAGAATCCAATTGTATGGGCACAGTACTACAAGTACAATTTCTATTTTACCTGAGAACTTGACTGCAGTCATTTTGGCCTCCTAAAAATAAATGCAAGTATAAGAAAAAGTATATATTTAGTGTGTATGTATATATATAACAAGTGTATGCAAGTATATATTTAGTATATGTTTAGTCACTAGGAAAAAAGATCATATACAGAGTTATTTGGTCCAAATGTAGTTCCCTGGGTATCTTCCACTATTTTTTAACATCTCCACACAGAAGCTGGATAATACATATCCAGTCAATGCAATAGCATCTTATGTAAGAGAAAGAACTAGGCTGACCCCTGCTATAGCACATCTTACTTTATTTAAAAAGAAAAGCTTTTGCCTTACTACAAAGTAAACAGCAAATGTGGTATTTTGTGGTGTTTGTGCTCTGGACACAAGAGCACATTGTGTATCATGAGTTGTTCTTGGGTAACCTTTTTTCAGGTGCAAGACACAAGAAAGTGGCTGCCAGTTTTCCTGGTTTTGGCTTAATGACTTCCCAGTTTGGACTAAATGAGTTTAGGATGGGATGTGACTTCTGGTATCTGGGACAGAACTTGGGAGCAGTTTTCAAGACAGAGGACTTATCAGCTTCACACCTGACACTGAGTTGCAGCTTTTTTGGGAATACATGGTGAAACTGGGCCTCCACCAAGGACTGGCCTGTTTCTTGTGGTTTAAGTTTATTCCAGTACTTTAAAAATAAAAAGCCTGCACTGTAGCAGTGGATATTTCAATAATGTCCTTATTTTTACACGGAGTTGGGAATTTCCACTGTGTGTGGAGTATGTTAAAATATAATGATATTTGGGAGAAGCTGTCCCAGACAAAAAGTGGGAGTGCCTCCCACTGTGGCTCTTGGAAAGACTGAAAACTGTGCTGAGCATTACCAACTTGAAGGGAAATGATCCTCTGCAATTTTCTTAATAGGTCCCTGATCAGCCTGAAAACAGTTGCCTGTGGAAAAAGCGTTCTTTCAAGAGCTGTGATGTTTTGCTGCTGTTAGGAAAGCCAAGAGTGAGGACAAGGGAGAACAAGCAGCAATGAAACCATTGTAGGTTTACCTGTGAAACTGCAGCATTTCAGCCACCTGGCGATGCTGGGACACATCTTCTTCCTTAATGAAGTTTTGGGAAAAGTCATCTGCCTTTCAGAAGCTTGGAATGCGGTTTCACAATTATTCCATGGGTGACCTTTTACTGGTGACGATGAAAACAGTGTTGCTTCATTAGGGTGTCACCTCCACCTTCTAATTCAGATGCTACTTCCTGGCATCTCTGTAGTGCCTTTAATTTAAAGGTAACGATTTAATTAAGCTGGAGAACTACCCAGCAAAGTAAATGAGTCTCACTCTCCCACTACAGAAGGGGAAACCGAGTTGTAGAGCCATTTGCCTGTGGTGATGGAGTTAGTGGCAGAGCCTTGGCTGGTATCAGCTCATCCTTGAGGTTCTCCAGTCCTGTCACACAGTAAGTCACAGGCTCTGGTCTGCTGGGTTTGTCCTTTAAGTGTCTGCAACTTACTAATAGCCATATTTGTGTTAATTAGCCTCTCATTACAACACGTAGTTGCAAATCAAATGCCATTCTTTGAAGACACATGCATGCAAATGATCGTTGAAAGTCGACAGTCGAGTTTCAAACTATGTTGTAGGAGCCCCAGCTGAAGGGTTAGGAAAGGTTCAGCACTAACTCTCAAGTGCCAAGACATTCAAGAGGTTATGAGCCAAAACTGCTTCTTTTTACTTGTGAACTCATGTTTGTGATTGTAACATGTCACCTGAGAGTGTGCTTCCTACTGAATGAGCTTCGTGCAGCCTGAGATCCCACACGGAATGGGATAAAGAGAGCCTTGTAACAAGACTCAGTGCTTACAGCTTCAGGGAGGAAACCATGAAGTGGCAGGCAAGCTCTTCATTCTTCTGTCTCTTGTTGAGCTGATCTCAGCCCAGGACTGAGCTGTGGAAGGACTTCAGTGCTGGAAAATATTAGAAAATAATATTGACAGAATGCACTCGAGCAGCAGTGCCAGCAGCTCACACATGGGAAAGCTTGTGAAAGGATGACAGTGTTTCACTTGGACAACAGGTACCTGTGACTGGCTCAAAGTTCAACAAGTCCTGCACTGGGAGCAGAATTTAGGACTGAGCCTCCTGCACTTCAAAAGCAGGTGACAAAAAGTGCTCAGCAGCACGATGAGGGGACTGTGTAGCAGCATCTAATTCCCTGCTGCTGTGTTTTCCCTCTGTGATGGGCTTTATTGCAGAGTCTGCTCCTTCCTGTTTTCCAGTTCTTAAGTGAGTTGGCAGAATTTGTTCCAGAGCACTTTACATTTCAAGTGAAGTCTTATTATGTTTAATCACGGTATTTTTTCTTCCTTGTGCTGTAACTCTGCCAGATTGTGACTATCTTTGTTATTACGGGCAGATTTTCCTGTTTGACTCCGAGA